TGGTGAGAGGTGGCTCTCCACCTCCATTTCCGGAGTTCAAATCATTGGGTGCCTCTTGTTAAAAGCTTCAACCCCACAAATGCTAGGTGGGAAATGAATGTTCTGTGAGGGGTGCTGCTCCACTGCAAGGGGTGATCAGTGGTACTGGCATGTTTAGCCGGGAGAAAAGAAGACGGAGGAGAGAGAGAGGAGAGCACTTTTCAAATATCTGAAAGGCTGTCCTCCAGAGGAAGGGCAGGATCTGTTCTCGATCCTCCCAGAGTGCAGGACACGCAACAGAGGGCTCAAGTGACAGGAAGCTGGATTTGGGCTGAAGATCAGGAAAACTTCCCAACTGTTAGAGCAGTACGACAAGGGAGCCCCTGACCTCAGGGGGAGGCGGTGAGCGCTCCAACGCTGGAGGCCTTCAAGAGACAATTGGACAACCTTCTGCTTTGATTTGAATTCCTGCCTTGAGCAAGGGGTTGGACTCAATGGTTTTATAGGTCCCTTCCTACTCCTTGATTCTATGAAATGCCCCTGAACTGTTCCGTTTTCTCCACAGCTGTCTGAAAACAACACACATTGCTAAATTACAAGAGATGTGATTTTTGTGGCATGTGTGATTTTCAGTGGAAGGGTTTGTGTTCTGCTGTAGCAGAATCCTACAACCGAGCCGTTCAAAAGCATGTAAAAATGCAAGTAGATAAATAGGGACCACCTCAGTGGGAAGGTCACGGCGTTCCGTGTCTGGTCGCACTGGCCACGTGACCACGGAAACGGTCTATGGACAAACGCTGGTTCTACGGCTTGGAGACGGGGATGAGCACCACGCCCTAGAGTCAGATACGAGTGGACTCAATGTCAAGAGTAGCAGAATCCAATGCTGTTCTTTGGGTAGAGTGTCTGCAGGCAAAATGAAACATGGGTATGGCAGAAGAAGGAGACCCTCGGGGAATGGCTGCAGGAATGCTGCCTGCACGCACTGCAGCAGCTTCTATTGAAAGGGGAGGGGGAGGAAAAAGAACAGGCTACAACGGCTATTCTGAGGCCCCCCCCCAAACAAAATCTGTCACCCAGCTGCCCTGTTTGGTACAGACTCCATGAAAAAGCAACAAGCAACTGTACAAGGGGTGTGTTTGTGTGTGTCTCTGCCAAGGAGGTGGCAGAGAAGCCTTGGGTTCAAGGTGGGGCAGACAGGCATGAAACTCAGATGTGTTCCAGTGACTTTTTTGCGCAATCCAGGCAGGGCAAGGGGCTAAAAAAGGTGATGATGATGATGATGATGATGATGATGATGATGATGATGATGATGATGATGATGATGATGATGATGATGAACAAGGTGCCAGAGACGGACACTGTCAGCTTGGGCATCAGCATTAGTAGTGCTTCTGCTTTTGTGGCTGGGAAAGAGCTTTGTGAAGAGCACCAGACATTGCCTTCCAATGTCCATACCATGCATCTCCGTCCTATTCAAGGAAGGATTCACCCCAAACCCCCATAGCTCAGTGGCTTAGGTTTCTGGCTGCAAAGCCAGAGGCGGGGAGTTCGAATCCCCACTGTGCCTCTTTGAGACCGGCTGGACTCAATACCTTCCAGCCCCGTCCTTCAAAGGTGGTGGTGGTGATAATGATGATTCCCAGCCAATCTCTCCTGTGCAAAGCAGCACTGCAGTTTGTGAGAACTTCCCTTCATCCGTCGTGGGGAGAAGAGGCGAATGTGGGGCCACAATTTCAGAAGAGTGTGACACTAAAACCAGCCCCTGCCCCTCCAGCTGCTGGAACGAGGAGCGATGACACGTTAGCCATCCCCGCCAGGAACACTGCGGTCCAAAACTGGAGCACTCAAGAAGTCAATAAGCTGGAAGCATTTTCAGCAGTGCGTGCAACAGATGCTGGCACGGCTGAGCACATGCGTGGCAAGAAGAAGACTCTGCACAGGGCACTGTGGCCGGCAAAATGACGTGGGGACTCTCCGGGCAAGTGGCTTCCTTACGGAGGAGAGCAAGAGTCCTCAGAGGGCTGAGCCTGAGCCACCCGCCTTGGGGAGCAGGGAAGACGACAGGCAAAGAGTAAGAGGGAAGAGTCAGCCAACGCCAGAGCCACCGCTCAAGAACAAGTCCCAGGCTATGCCGAAGAAGCTCGGAGGGGGGACAGGAAAAGGCCACCAGCAAACAGAAGCACCCCAGGACTCTTTGTTGACTTGGGAGAGCATTCCAATTTTTTTTTTAATTCCGAATTCTGAACCCAAAGGGCTGTCATTCTGAATTCCGAATCCCAATTCCCAATCTGAATTTGGCTGCCGGTGCACCTCCCTCAGTGAGCGCTGGCGGGTAAATTCACGGGCCCAGAGCATCTGCTGGGTGGATAGGGCCCTCTGAGCCTCCTGTTGGGAGCTGGGCTTCTCTTTGCCCTTCAATTCGCCCACGATGGCTACGGAGGCTGAAGCCCCCGGGAGAGGAAGGGGCCACGGCTCGGTGACGCAGCAGCAAAAGCCACGCGCCCTGTTGTGGCCGCGGCTGGACGCAGACCCTCTCTTTGAGCGGGAGTGTTGGGTTACTCAGCCCTCTAATTGCTGCCCTTTGGGAGACGGATGATGCTTCCTTTGAAGGACCTGCGCCTCGGTGGAAATTGGTTTCACACTCAGGTGCGAATTTGATGCCAGTGTTTGATTCCGGCAGGTGCAGAATGACTGCAGAAGGAGCCATGGAAGACCCACAAAGGCCAGGTGGTGCGCCTGTCACAGGCCAGAGGCCCCATGATACCTGCTCTGGCGTGGCAGCTAACAGACCCTACCCCATCCCATAGAGGCTACGTCTTAGGTTCTTGCCCCCCCCCAACTCAAAAAAGCCTTTGGGAAGGTCCAAGCAGGATTTGGAGGGCAGAAATCCACTCGGAAAGCCGGGCTGCATGGCTTCATCCCATGAGACCGGCTCACAGGCTCCCGCTCGGATCGGCAGGGCAATCTCTGTCTGTGGTTCTGATTTGTCCAAGCCCTGAATCCAAACCCCAAAGTTAGCCTGGTTCTGAGAGGACTTGGGAGGTATCCGGAGCAAAACAGCGCTCCTGGAGCCGAGAGGACCCCAAACCCAAGTGTGGTGAGGGATGTGGATTCCGGAGTCCCAAGCAACCCTCGGCCTCTCCAAACCCTGGTTTTTGATCACAGGGAAGGTGACAAAGTCAGGTACACAAAAGCTGTCAATTGAGAGGTCTCCAAGATCTTCTGGCTTTCTAAGCTGAGGGCGGACCATAATCTCTTTGGGTTGCTCCGCTCTCCTCATGGCGTCATGGAGGCAAAACACCCTCATATCTTTCACAAGGGAGTGCCGTTTCATCCAGAACATCCCGAATCGTCGCCCACGAGCCAGACCTTCTCTTGACCAACTGGCACCTCCACCTGGTTAGGTTTCATTTCAGCCTCTTTCTTAGTGATCCACCCCACAACGTTCCAGGGGGGCATCAACCCCTTCTTTGGCTTTATGCCATCATCTGCGGTAACACTGAGGGTCCAGGCATTGCCCCCCCAGGACCTGCAGCCCCCCCCCCAATTCTGTGCCTCTCTAACCTCAGGAGAGGAAGAACACCCCCCAGTCTGTGATTTCAGACTGAGTGTCAGAGGGGGAGCTCCCATGAGGGCTCAAATCGGTGGAGAGAGGACCCGAATAATTCCCCCCGGATCCCTAGAGAATGCTAGGGGTCCTGCCTGAGGAAGGGCTACAGATTGGTTTGGTTCTTCTTAATATTTGGGGAGCTGTCGGGGTAAGGCTAGCCCTCTTTCTTCCAGGTGTAGGTGTCTGGGGCTCCTAGACGTCCCCCCCTCAGTTGCCCACCCCCTGGCTTTTAGGGACCCCCCAGCAGCGCATTGGTGGCATTTCACATCAACGCTCAGAATGACCTTGCCAAGGGGGTTCAAGCCAAGGACGAGCTAAAGCCCTGTGGGGGAGGACATAGGCCGCAGGGGCCTCCCTCTTGAGCATGATCTAAGAGGCAAGGCCAGCACGGCTGCGCAACCTCAGCCTGGCCAGGCGGTCCCGAAGTTGACCATCGTTGAGGGCCAAGGCTTGGACAAGCCACTGAGATGTTCAGAAAGAGGAAAACAACCACACTTTCTCCGCCAACTCCTCGGTCCGAGGCATCCCCTAGATTTCCAAACCTGTTTCGGTCCCATCTGAAAGGGCCAGTTCTGGAGGACCATGTAGGTATGTGGAGGCTCACCTTGTTTTTGCCCCCACTTGGGTTGCATGGACCTCAAATTCAGGTAGAGAGGAGCTTTCTAGCCTTTGTTCTGTGTGGTTGTACTCTCCCCCCCCCCAATAAAAGGGACAATTAGCGGCAGTCACTTTGAACGCGGGACATCCTAAAACGCCAGATTCACATGACGGGTAGCGTAAAAAGTTTGAGAAACACGAAGCCGCTGTAGAAACCATCTCGCCAGGCCAGCTCAAAGATGGATGATCACCATGGCGGGCTCTACCTGTGTCACTAACGAACTGCGCAGGCAAACAGTTGGAAACGTTTTTCTCTGGCCAAGGGGAACAAAGAAATCCCTCAAAGTTTCATCTGGGAGAATGATTAAGCCGGACTGGACCGACATCTGCAACAGGCCTCCAATAACACAATTCAGCCAAAATGGATCGATCCACCTGGACTGCCCAAAGGTGTCTGGTTTCTAATTAGAAAAGCATCCCCTTGCTTGGCTTTTTTGAAAAAAAAACATCTGGAGCCTCGGTTAAGAGAGACTGGCGGAGGGCGGGAGGGGTTTTTGACCTCACCAGGCAGCCCTCTCCACAAAAGGGGTGCTAATCCTCCAAACGCCCTGGGTTTTTTTGGCAGGTGCCTGCTAATCCCGCCGGCCTCTGTGCACCTGGAACCTTCCTGGACACCTCCTTGTTCATTGTTGCTTCGAAAGGTCTCTCCGGAAGGGTGCTCCAGCTCTCCAGACGTGCCGGTGTGGTATAAAAAGGGGCCGGGGTTGCAGCTGATCCCTTGCAGATGCTGACAGTGAGAGAGAGGCAGAGAGAAAGAGCGAGCGAGCGAGAGAGAAGGAGCGCAAGGAAGGAAGGAGGAGCGCTAGGAGACCACAGAGCAACAGGTAAGGGCGGCTGTTGCTTTCCCTTCAGTGGAGGCCACCTTGTTCTTCCGTGACTCCCTCTCCTCCTCCTGGGCTCTCCTTCCACGGCAAATCCCCCTTTTCTTCCCAACTTCTCTCCCTGACTTTTCTTTTTTCAACTTCTGTCCTGAAGTGGATTTAGAAGAGGAGAGGGCAAGGCTGGCGATGGGGTGCCCCCCCCACCTCTAAGCTCTCTGCGAGGGTGGGAAAAGGGAAAGGTTTGTTGGCTGGTTTCCCAAAAGCAGAACAAAGAGCGGTGTGCTTCTTACAACAGGGTGTACCTGTAAGTCCAACGCTGAAACAGTCTTCCGGACAAGAGCCTTTGAGTGGCCGTGGGGGAAGCCACTAAAAGCCGGGTCGGCGATGCTCTCGTCCAGGGGTTCGAGGCGACCGTGGCCTACAGATTTCCTTCCTAGCTCCTACTTTTTGTGGTTTAGCAGGAAGGATTTTTTCCCAAAGGGGCCCAAACCACCCGGGGCTCCTTTTTTCTCAATCCCCCTTCCATCGGAAGGAAACTGGGGAAGAGTGTGTAAAAGACGCACACGCTCTTCTTCGCATGCTTGACGCACCTACGACCCAGGTGCTTAAAACTGGGGGTACCCTGCTATTTGGGACACGGTCGAGCAGGGAAAGAATATTTCTGACCAAATCGGTGGCTGCAGATAAGATACCCAGCATGCAGACGATGGTGGATTAATTCAGGCAGCATCTAAAAAAGGTGCGTACGGGCATTTTCCAAGAAGTGCCGCTTTGCCACGATGTGGCTTCTAGGGGAGAGAAAAAAAAGTGACTTCTGCCTTGTGGGTCAATTTTTCTTTTCTTAACCTTCAAAACTCTATTGTGGGATTTGGGGCATCAGGCGAGGGCAGAAAAAGAGTCGAAGCGCAACTTCTAATGCTTACTGTTAGTGCTCCCAGTCAGAGCTTGGAACGAAACATGAGTTGCGTGATGCTTATTTTGGTCTGTGGATATGCGGTCGCTCTCAGAGGTATGTGAGCCATTAAAAAAAAACACAGGAGGTATAGAGTGTATGGGATTGACTATAACAGTGGAAGGAAAGGAGAGGCTGCGTGAGAGAGAGGGGAGAGAAAGGAGGGAGGAAGAGAGATTAATGTACTGTAATAGGAGACGTGGCTGGCTAGGCTGCGCAGGGGTTTAGGTCTCTGGCTGCGGTGCCAGAGGTTCGATTCTCCACTGTGCCTCCCGGGACAAAAGCCACCCTGGGTAGCCTTGGTTCAGCTGCACAGCCCCAGAAGAAGGGGATGGTATACCATCTCTTAGTCTTCCCTACCTAAAAACCCAGGAAGGGGCTGCCATGAATCCGAATTGACGATGGCATGCAATTATTATTATTAATAGGAGAGAACACCCCCCCCCCAAATAAAATTCTCCTGGAAAGAATCTGGCACTACCTTAAGGCAATGTGTTTTCACTGGAAAAGAAAATATAGGCCGGTGTCAAAGTTATGGATGTAAAAATTCAGAGGGGAGGGAAAAAAACACAGGCAAAGTGTGCAGAAGGAGGAAAGGCAGACCAAGGCATCGGCAGGGCTCGTGTGAGACCCTGTCGTGTCCGGGAAGAACTGCCAAAAGTTATTTTGGAGAGAACACCCCATCAGGGGCCATGAGGACCGAGAGCGTCCAGAACTGGTGGTCCCCCCACCCCCACCCCAAAGGTAGCTTTTCTTGAGATCCATGCCCAGGAAGGAAACTTTTAATGGTATCCCTTCTGCCATTAGGTGTCACGGACACAATCCAATCCAACCAGAATTTCTTGCGCTCGGCTCTCCTTCATTCCGGGAGAAATCCTACGGCGGATCCTGCCGTTGGCTCCGACCAACGGGTCTTTTTGCCTTAAGGGTGGCCCATCGTCCTGCTCTCTGGGCTGTGCAGCAGGGCACAAGTGAGATGCCATACAAGGCGAGACCCCTTTCAGAGTCCCTTTGTGCCCGCTGCCCTTGCAAAAAATTTCCCCTAGGTGCTCTCCCCCCACCCTGCTGATCCAGTTTGGCCCCCCCCCCCTTGGCCTCCCTTCCATCTGATGCTGCAGTTGCATCCCTTCACTAGAACGATGCTAGCAGGGTCAACAGCCGTGGCCCACAAAAGCTGCCCCATGAAAAGGCAGCTTCCTGTAATCAGTGCTACCGGTCTTATTAGCATTTATGTCAGCAGCAGTATTGCTGTGCGGAGATTTATTTCCTTACCTGTTTTTAGACAACAATATTGGTGGCCAGGGACTCCTATTTTCAGAGGTAAATGGTGCCGTTTGTATACCACCTCACCTTAAAGTATCTTTGGGCGGTTTACAATTTACTTAGGCAGGCTGCACCTTGCCCTCTCACCTCCCACCTTCCAAACAAGCTGGGTCCTCAATTTACGGACCTCAGAAGGATAGAAGGCTGAGTCAACCTTGAGCTGGTTACCAGACCCTGAGCAGAGTCTTGATGGCAGTGCTGCAGTTTAGTGCATTCCAGTTTTAGCCTGCAGTCTACCCCCAGTACTGAATCTGCCTTGGGAGAGGTTCAGAAGCTTGGATACGGGCTGTAAAGTGCACACTAAAATCCGGAGTGGATTCGCACCGTGCTTGAAAACTGAGTCATCTCCCAGGACTAGGCTGAAACTTCCACCAGCCTTAATACCAGCCAACCAGCAGGCCCAGTGGTTCAACATCTGGAACACTGCAATGTTCCTGATCTACTGTGTGTTTTTTTTTAATCCTTGGCATAATGTCCTATAAGCATCAAGCATTTATGCTTGGCTCCCCCACCTGACCATGAGTGGAGAAAAGAGGGGGTGGTGTCCTTGAAGCATTTTGCACCAGACTTAGTTTTGCATTAAAAGAACATCGATGGTGGCAAGTTTCCGTCTCTACACCGTAGGAGCACCGTCTTAACGCCCGAACTTTTTCGCATAGCAGGTGGCACCCCTGGAGAGAGCGAGAGAGGGGGGGGGTCCGTGCTCATCCCCACCGAATGTTTCTGTATAGCTTCAAAGAATGAGAAAGAAGGGAAGCCGATTTTTGCCAGGGAACACTCTCTGTGTGTCTCCTTGACATCAGGAGAAGGAGGGAGTCAACAGAGAATTGCGCTCTTCGCACCCGGCTCCATCTCTCAGTGAGGAAGTGGGGACTGGGGAGGGGGGGGAATGGTATGCAACACGTAGATATTTTTATTCCCTACCACTAAAAGCTCTTAAGTGAGAAAGCAAAATGCTTAGCGCAGCGACCCCTTAACCTTCCCGGAGCACGTCGGTTGCTATGCACACCATAGAAACTTGAATACGCAACTCAGCTCGGGGGTGTCGCAGCCTGGTTGGGCAGCTCGGTGAGATGGAGCACTGGGCGGCCGAGATAGTGGTTGGGGGTTCGATTCCATCCCCTGCCTTATAGGAGAAGAGCCAGCCCGGGTGTCCGGGGGGCAAACGGCACCGTTCCAGAGCGAGTCCGAAAGATAAGAGGGTGGTACGCCTGAATGCATGATGCCTAGAAAAACGCTGGAAAGGGTTGCCGTCAGCTAGAAACAACTTGGGGGGCACACGAAAATAAAGTTTTTGGGAGGTGAGATGTTCGAGGAGTAAGTTGCTATGGCTACGTGGGAGTTTCCATAGCCAGGAAGGGATTCAAACCCAGATCTCCCAAGGGCTAGCTTCATTGTCAGGCTACATTGTGTTGATTCTGATAGAGCATGTGCAGAGTGTTCTGAATAGGTCATACACAGATCTGGTCAGACCCTGGCAACAAATCCCCCAGCCAGCATGGCCAAAGCTGGCCACAGCAACTGGCCACGTGTTGGCCAGGATTGTTGTTATGGGCTACCAGGGTACTTCCAATACGTGCCAACTCTCTGCACGAGTGACTTCCAAAATGTCTTCCCCTCGACTGTCCTGCTCTGCAGCTGGGAACTCGAGCCTATGGCTTCCTTTTAGGGGGTCAATCCACCTCGTAGTTGATCTTCCTCTTTCCCTGTTTCTCGCAGCCTTTCCCAGCACGATAGGCTTTGTCCCTTCACTAGAACGATGCTAGCAGGGTCAACAGCCGTGGCCACAAAAGCTGCCCCACTGTAACCAGTGCTACCGGTCTTATTAGCATTTATGTCAGCGGCAGTATTGCTGTGCGGAGATTTATTTCCTGACCCTCTTTATAGCAGTTCAAGGTGGCTTTGGTCACTTCCTTACGTATAAAGTTTTTTTTTATGTGTTCCGATCCCTTACTTGTGGGGCAGTGGTTCAACTGCAGGATTGCAGTCAAAACTCTGCTCGTGTTTGATCCCGGTGGATTCTAGCAGGAGGATTCTCAGCCTTCCATCCTTCCGAGGTCATTAAAATGAGAACCCAGCCTTGGGGCGGGAGGGGAGCAATGTGTAGCCTGCATAATTAAGTTGTAAACTACCTGGAGAGAGCTTTACACATTATGGGGTGGTATATAAGCAGCACACTTCGCTCTGTCTCTGTCTCTCTTCTTCTTTTTTAAAATTTAGGAGTGCACATAAATCACATGCATGCACACACACACACACACACACACACACACGAGCATGCACACATGTAATTCCATGTTACAGGTTATATCCGGAGCAAGCAAAGCATGACAATCCAGAAATATTTTTAGTCGACAATATTGTTGACCGGGGATTCCTATTTTCAGAGGTAAACAGTGCTGGGGATTGAACTCAGGCCCTGAGGAGAGTCTTGACGGCAGTGCTGCAGTTTAGTGCACTCCAGTTTTAGCCTGCAATCCCCAGAAGCTACCCCAGTGCTGAATCTGCCTTGGGAGAGGTTCAGAAGCTTGGATACGGGCTGTAAAGTGCACACTAAAATCCGGAGTGGATTCGCACCGTGCTTGAAAACTGAGTCATCTCCCAGGACTAGGCTGAAACTTCCACCAGCCTTAATACCAGCCAACCAGCAGGCCCAGTGGTTCAACATCTGGAACACTGCAATGTTCCTGATCTACTGTATGTTTTTTTTAATCCTTGGCATAATGTCCTATAAGCATCAAGCATTTATGCTTGGCTCCCCCACCTGACCATGAGTGGAGAAAAGAGGGGGTGGTGTCCTTGAAGCATTTTGCACCAGACTTAGTTTTGCATTAAAAGAACATCGATGGTGGCAAGTTTCCGTCTCTACACCGTAGGAGCACCGTCTTAACGCCCGAACTTTTTCGCATAGCAGGTGGCACCCCTGGAGAGAGTGCGGGGGGGGTTCCGTGCTCATCCCCATCGAATGTTTCTGTATAGCTTCAAAGAATGAGAAAGAAGGGAAGCCGATTTTTGCCAGGGAACACTCTCTGTGTGTCTCCTTGACATCAGGAGAAGGAGGGAGTCAACAGAGAATTGCGCTCTTCGCACCCGGCTCCATCTCTCAGTGAGGAAGTGGGGACTGGGGAGGGGGGGGAATGGTATGCAACACGTAGATATTTTTATTCCCTACCACTAAAAGCTCTTAAGTGAGAAAGCAAAATGCTTAGCGCAGCGACCCCTTAACCTTCCCGGAGCACGTCGGTTGCTATGCACACCATAGAAACTTGAATACGCAACTCAGCTCTGGGGGGGTTTCGCAGCCTGGTTGGGCAGCTCGGTGAGATGGAGCACTGGGCGGCCGAGATAGTGGTTGGGGGTTCGATTCCCTCCCCTGCCTTATAGGAGAAGAGCCAGCCCGGGTGTCCGGGGGGCAAACGGCACCGTTCCAGAGCGAGTCCGAAAGATAAGAGGGTGGTACGCCTGAATGCATGATGCCTAGAAAAACGCTGGAAAGGGTTGCCGTCAGCTAGAAACAACTTGGGGGGCACACGAAAATAAAGTTTTTGGGAGGTGAGATGTTCGAGGAGTAAGTTGCTATGGCTACGTGGGAGTTTCCATAGCCAGGAAGGGATTCAAACCCAGATCTCCCAAGGGCTAGCTTCATTGTCAGGCTACATTGTGTTGATTCTGATAGAGCATGTGCAGAGTGTTCTGAATAGGTCATACACAGATCTGGTCAGACCCTGGCAACAAATCCCCCAGCCAGCATGGCCAAAGCTGGCCACAGCAACTGGCCACGTGTTGGCCAGGATTGTTGTTATGGGCTACCAGGGTACTTCCAATACGTGCCAACTCTCTGCACGAGTGACTTCCAAAATGTCTTCCCCTCGACTGTCCTGCTCTGCAGCTGGGAACTCGAGCCTATGGCTTCCTTTTAGGGGGTCAATCCACCTCGTAGTTGATCTTCCTCTTTCCCTCTTTCTTGCAGCTTTTCCCAGCACGATAGGCTTTGCAGCAAGGCGGCTTCCCCTCCGGGCTTCTTTCTGCTCTGGAGGCTTAACAAGGCGGCCAACTTTTCTCTCTCAACAGGGCCCCTGTGCTTTCTTCCTGAAGATGCCGAATCCACGGGGGAGCAGCTGCCTCTGGGCCGTCCTTGGAGTTCTGCTCATCCACTCCGTGGCAGGAGCTCGCGGCCACTGCTGGGACAGCGGTTGGTGTCGGGACATGGACACCGAACAGGAGATGATGGTAAGTCCCCTGCTTCCTTGCCACTAACCTGGGGTGGTTCCCCCCAGGATGGGAGGTCAAGGACTCACCCAACGCACCGATGAAACAAGCGGGCCGTGCGTTCAAAGGAAAGGCCAATCCGGTAGAAAATCTCACAGAGGTAGCCGTGTTAGCTCACCTGTTGACTCGAAAACAGCATGGGGTTTCAAGGAAATAGTGGAAATAGTGAGTTTGGCACACACTTCGGTGGACTGTGGCCCACTTCTGCAGACGTGTCCTGGAATCATCCTGCGGAACTCACCACTCCAAGATGGGGCGGCAGCGTCTGGCTCGGAGACGCTTTTCAAAGGTCGTGCATCTAACAAAGCGGACAATATTAGCCTATAATCGGCTATGATGAGACGCACAACCTAAGCGATGCCCGTGGCACGGTGGTTCAACTGCAGCACTGCAGCTGACCCTCTGCTCACAACCTGAGTTTGATGCTGAGGGGATCCAGGTCACCGGCTCAAGGCTAACTCAAGCCTTCCATCCTTCCAAGGTCACTAACATGAGTACCCAGTTCGTTGTGGTGGTGAGCTTTGGCTTTTATTTTATTTTTTTGGTATATTTATGTTGTAAACTGCTCTAGTGCTATGGGACATAGTATAAGTCAAAAGGCGGCTTCCCCTCCGGGCTTCTTTCTGCTCTGGAGGCTTAACAAGGCGGCCAACTTTCCTCTCTCAACAGGGCCCCTGTGCTTTCTTCCTGAAGATGCCGAATCCACGGGGGAGCAGCTGCCTCTGGGCCGTCCTTGGAGTTCTGCTCATCCACTCCGTGGCAGGAGCTCGCGGCCACTGCTGGGACAGCGGTTGGTGTCGGGACATGGACACCGAACAGGAGATGATGGTAAGTCCCCTGCTTCCTTGCCACTAACCCGGGGTGGTCCCACCCAGGATGGGAGGTCAAGGACTCACCCAACACACCGATGAAACAAGCGGGCCGTGCGTTCAAAGGAAAGGCCAGTCCGGTAGAAAATCTCACGGAGGTAGCCGTGTTAGCTCGCCTGTTGCATCCAAAACAACATGGGGGTTCGAGGGTACCTTTGGAAATAGTGAGTTTGGCACACGCTTTGGTGGACTGTGGCCCACTTCTGCAGACATGTCCTGGAATCATCCTGCGGAACTCACCGCTCCAAGATGGGGCGGCAGCGTCTGGCTCGGAGACGCTTTTCAAAGGTCGTGCATCTAACAAAGCGGACAATATTAGCCTATAATCGGCTATGATGAGACGCACAACCTAAGCGATGCCCGTGGCACGGTGGTTCAACTGCAGCACTGCAGCTGACCTCTGCTCACAACCTGAGTTTGATCCTGAGGAGATCCAGGTCACCGGCTCAAGGCTGACTCAAGCCTTCCATCCTTCCAAGGTCGCTAACATGAGTACCCAGTTCGTCCTGGTGGTGAGCTTTGGCTTATATATATATATATATGTGTTGTAAAATGCTCTAGCGCTATGGGGTGGTGTATAAGTTTAGATAGATAGATAGATAGATAGATAGATAGATAGATAGATAGATAGATAGATAGATAGATAGATAGATAGATAGATAGATAGATAGATAGATAGATAGATAGATAGATAGATAGATAGATTGGGGCGATATTTCAGAACTTCCTAGGCAGCGTTGCCACCCACGAAGATGGAGATGAGGGCTGGTGAAGTGTAAAAAAAGTTGATTTAAAGTCTCAGAGAGATGCAAAGCCTATTGTTAGCAGCCATGGCTTTTGAGAAGGAGGGGGAGTGAATTTTGATGAGGCCTGGGAGCCATTTCTCGTTCCCCACCCACCCACCTGCAACCTACCACAGGCTGCCATACCAGCAGACACCCCCCCTCCGCCGCCACCCCCTCCGGCTGAAGCTCAGCGGCAAATCTTTTCTCAGAAAAACTCGTTTGAAGCCGGGAGACGCGTTGCCATTCCAGAAATTCAGGTTGTCCCCACACGTTCGCGTGGTGGTTTGTGGGGGTGCCTTGAGGGGGCTGCTAAGAAAAATAAATATAAAAATAAAAATAGACACTAAGCCACCACCCCCCTCTGCGTGTTGCCCAAGTGGTGTATTTGAACTTAAATTCGGACTCTAAATCGGAATGGATAGCACGGAATGTGTCGGCTACGTGTATTCTGTGCCCCCCCCAAAGCAACCCCAGAGCTTCTTTTAAAAGTGAGGGGGCATGTGTGTGTGTGTGTGTGTGTGTGTGTGTGTGTGTGAGAGAGAGAGAGAGAGAGAGAGAGAGACTAAGTCCTAAAACCACCACCACCCATTAAAAAAAGAAAAAGAAAGAAACTGGAAGTGTGCATCTTGCTGTCATTTCTCAATATGAAGAACTAGCCAAACCAGCTATTCCTACAGCCCGGAGTGGCTGCCAGAGGCCAAAACCAGGGGCCCGTGTGCTACTACTTATAGGCCGCCCCATAGCGCTTCAAGCACTCTCTAAGCAGTTTGCAATTTTAATTACACAAGCTACGCATTGCCCCCCATCCTACCCCAGCCAGCTGGGTACTCGTTTCACCGACCTGGGAAGGATCGAAGGCTGAGTCCACCTTGAGCCGGCTCCCTGGGATTTGAACCCTGGGTCGTGAGCAGAGTCGTGACTGCAGGACTGCAGCTGAACCGCTGTGCCAGGAGGCTCTTCGGGTTGAGCACCAAGGGGGCAAACCAACGAGCAGAGTCTTGACTGCAGGACTGCAGCTGAACCGCTGCGCCAGGAGGCTCTTTGGGTTGAGCACCAAGAGGGCGAACCAAGTTGGGTGGTTGGGCTCCGGCTCAAACGGCAGGACACCCGTCTTCCAGGTGGTGCCTGGACTGGTGTAAGGCTTGCTTTTTCAAAGGAGGAAGACGTGGAACAGCTTTGGAGAGGTGACTCTTGAACAGGCAGGAATAAATGGAGAGAAAATGATTTCCCCCCCCCTTACTGGAAAAAAGAAGGGGGGATGAATGCTGTTGCTTGAATTTATTAGTTAAGGCAAACTGCGGTTATGATTGCATTGGCAAATAATGAGGGCAAAGCGGTGGGATGCAGACGGTCTGAGCTGCATTATTTCCCGATCACACACAAGCCCATGCAAATCAGCCCACCATCTCCACATCCCCATCTGCAGCTTTTTCTTCCACCTCTGGGGCTTCTATTTTTACAACATCAAATGCATTTGCCTCAGTCCAGGCAGCGTGAGCGTTCAATCTGATGTGGAGGGATCTGGTGCCCTTGGGTTTCAAGAAATCCCACCCAGCAGCTGTGAGAGAGTCGGTCAGGGCAGAGGAGACACTGATGGTCTATGGAATCCTCTTCTTGCCAAACCTTATGCCTGGGTCTCCTTGTTTTCCTCTCCCTCCCTCCCTTCCTTCCTTCTCACTTTCTCAGCAGCCTCCCTAGCTGCAGGGGATCAGTCCCAAGCCCCTGCACGGATGCTGAAAAATGCTGATTCTAACGAACATTATGTTAATAGCGAATACTATACATTTGGCTCCAGCTCCACCTAGTGACCAATTCTTGTAACTTCAGCTTTAGAAATATTTTACCTACAAGATACTGTAATTAAATATCTTAATATAATAAAATTATAATTTGACAGGAAATACTTATAGACTCGGACATGGAAGTTCTCTTATCTTCTCTGCTCTTGGGCAAAGGTCTTAATTAGACACGGGGACAAATAAAAAAGAAAAGAATTGTGTATTTGTAAGAAATCACTGATTTGTTGAATAGTCATCCCTTTGCACATTTATCCATCCCCATAGACTAGGCTGCCGGAACTGCAGCTTCTGTTTAGGCAACCTAGCTTTCCCTCTTTGCCTATGCGCTCACGGAACAGCTGTTTGGTGGACCCCTAGGCAGAGAGGGAAGGGCCAGCCTGCAGGAATGCAGAAGCTGACAAGGTAGGGAGGCAATGGGGCAGGGAAGGGGGGGCAGGCTGCAGGGGTGGCGGACTCGACTTTAAAAAAAAAGACCCAGCAAATTGGCAAACTGGTTTGTGGTTCATCAGAAACTCAGTGAACATTCGTGGTTCACAGTTCGTCAACCTTGACGAACCACGAACCAAGACGAATAGTCCTTTTGGCGGTTTGTCCCCATCTCTAGTCTTGATGGGCGGTAGCTGAGCCTATGTGGTCCTGCTACTGCCTGAGATGAGAAACATAGCTTTTTGACACTACAAATTCCAGCATGCCTTGGGAGAACATGACCTCTGGGAGAGGTTTTGGGAGGCTGTCATCCAGAAATGTTTCCAATCCTCTACTAGATGTAGGGCCTTCTTTGCTGTAGCACCAACCCTCTGGAACCAACGGGTGGTGGATCTGCCTTCGGCTCCCTCCCTCCAAACATTCAAAAGACTTCCAAAAACAGTTTTACAGAAAGGCCTCTTTTTGGGCAACCCTGTCTGACGTGTTTTTCCTGCTGTTTTGTTTATTATATTCCTCATGTGCCACCTTTTAGGTTGCATTTTATACCTCTTGGAGTTTTTGGCTCAAGTGCTGTTTATTCCCTTTACTTTTAATTTATGCCTATTGTTTATACCTCTTGGAGTGTTTGGCTCAAGTGCTGTTTATTCCCTTTACTTTTAATTTATGCCTATTGTGTTTTTATCCTGTTGTAAACTGCCCAGCATAGTGCATCACACGAACAGGATGGTAAATAAAGAATATAGGACCCCCTGGTAGAGTTTCGTTCATCCACAGTCTGAAAAGATAAAAAATGTTAAAAGGAAAAAAATCCAGAATTTTTTTTCACATGTGTTATCAGAACCGGCCACTAGAGAGAGCCAGAGACTGTACTATGAATACTTGTTAGTGAAGAACACTTAGCATGTTCTAGTGGCCAGTTCTGGTAATGCATGTGAAAATATTTTTTTTCTGAGTTTTTTCCCCTTTTACCATGCTATCTGTCTATCTATCTGTCTATCTGTCTGTCTGTCTAATCCATGTTTCTATCTATCTATCTATCTATCTATCTATCTATCTATCTATCTATCTATCTATCTATCTATCTATCTATCTGTCTGTCTGTCTGTCTGTCTGTCTGTCTGTCTGTCTGTCTGTCTGTCTGTCTGTCTGTCTGTCTATCTATCTATCTATCTATCTATCTATCTATCTATCTATCTATCTATCTATTTATCTATCTATCTATCTATCATTTGCTATTATACACGGTTTTCAGAATCTGGGGGAGGCTTGGAATCAATCACCCATAGCTATTGAGGTCCTACTGTGGATGAATGAATGAATGAATGAATGAATGAATGAATGAATGAATGAATGAATGAATGAATGAATGAATGAATGAATGAATGAATGAACGAACGAACGAACGAACAAATGAATGAACAGTATGTGAGAATTCGGAACAAGGGTGTTGGGTGGAAGGGACAAGCACTCCTTGGTATCTCACAATAGATGTGTCCCTTTTCCTCCTCCTCTTTCTCCACACCAGGAGTGCCTCCGGGCCTGTAGAATGAGCCTCTCCGAAGAGTCTCCAGTCTACCCAGGCAACGGCCACATGCAGCCCCTTTCTGAGAACATCCGGAAGTACGTCATGAGCCATTTCCGCTGGAACAAGTTCAACAGGAGCAATGACAGCGCCTCAGGCCCGAAGAGGGGAGACCTCCTCAGCGGGCGAGGTTCTCTGGGGGCCCTCGTCCCGGCGTCTTCCGAAGAGCAAGAAAGCTGGGAAGGAAGTGACCCCGGATACATGGAAAGGCAGGAAGGCAAGCGGTCCTACGCCATGGAGCATTTTCGGTGGGGCAAGCCGGTGGGACGGAAAAGGAGGCCCATCAAGGTGTACCCCAATGGAGTGGAAGAGGAGTCCTCTGAGGTGGATCCCCAAGAAGTCCGAAGGGACCTTTCCTGGAACATGGACTACCCCGAACTCGACTCTCTCGAAGAAAAGAGGGACGGCGAAGGCTCCATGTCGGAGGAAGAGGCCCCGGAGGCGGCCAAGAAGGACAGCCCGTACCAGATGGGCCATTTCCGGTGGAGCGCCCCACCGCCAGCCGCGGCCAAGAAGAAGCGCTACGGCGGCTTCATGACCTCGGAGCGCAGCCCCATGCCCTTAGTGACTCTTTTTAAGAACGCCATTATCAAAACAGCGTATAAGAAAGACCAATAAGCGGGATGGGGGATGAGGAGGCCCCCCCCCCAGCAGGGACTCCCCCTCAAGCCCCTATTTCATTTAGATACGGTCAAACGAAGATCATTTCTGTACATCATTCTAACTTAGCACTAATAATTAGGGAATTTGCTGCTTAAGAGGCACCTTAGCTGTTTGCATTTCTGGGTTAATTTTTGTCTGTGTATGTTTTGGGGTGGCCAGACAATGGGGAGGTATGGGAGGCGGGCACCGATGCGGTCGCTTGACGGCCGCGTGAGAGAACCCGAAGGGAAGAGAGAAGAAGGCAGTGGCCGGCAGAGTATTTTCATATTTTAAACCAGCTGTACTATACTGTAAATGAAAGGGTTGAAGATATAAAATAATAATACAGATAATAACAATAATACATCTTTTTGCAAGCTAAACGGGTCTCCGAGATGTTTTTTTGACGGGGGTTGGACTCGATGGCCAATTATTCCGTCATCATCTGCCTGTGCTGCTGCCCAAAGGGGGCGCCACTTCCTCCATCATCCTCCACAGTGCCCAGCCACAGGACATTCTCGAAGCCAAGGCACTGGTGGAAAGATGAAGTGAGATATGGGGAGGGGGGGGTCCTGTAGGCATTTTTGGGGCCACATTTCCCAGAGTCCCTCAATCTTAAAGTGCCCCCCCACTTCTCCGAGCAGCTGGACAAGGCAGCAGAAGGACCTTCCTTTCTTGACTTGACTGATGACAGACCTTGCACAGACCCTGCTCACGAGGAAATGGCATTGAACCGCTCTCTTGGCTATAAGGGGCTACAATAGGACCCGACCCCCCCCCCAATATCTGCAGGGGATGGGTTCTAAGCCCCCCCCCTGCAGATGCTGAAATAACAGTGAATGCTATACAGAGCACAGTCTTTGGTTCCCTCTAGTGGCCAGTTCTGGTAAGTTCGTCTTTAGAAATATATACTGTATTTCTAAGGTTTTTCTTTTTTTAATCTTTAAAACAATGTCATACAGTGGACAAGTGAGCAAGTGGATATTGATTCTGTGGATCCAGGCCTCCGACCGTATCTTCTTTACGTGGCTATTGCAAACACAACAATGTTGTGACAAAGATGAGGGGGAAACGTATCCTGAATCAAATACCAAAACAACAGTAATAGACATAATGCTGCAAAATAGACCCCCCCACACTTGAGTTCTGACACTGTACCAGAGGAGAAGGTGGTTGCAAGGAAACATGAAGAAGCACAGAAGTCTCTTCAAAGCAAAACCGTTCCAGGCGCACCCGCTGGAAGGCCCTACACCCTGCTCACGAGGGCCTAAGTCGTCCCCCCAAGGAAACAGTCACTCCTGCCTTCTCCTACAGCCTCCTCTTTGTAAATGGAAATTGGGAATAGTGGCCCCTTTTTATGATTTCGATACTCCCTGAGCTGAATTGACCAGTCCATAGGGGTGGCATCCATACCAGGAAAACACCGTGCCAAGACTTGGTTGGCCAGAGTTCCTCATACCCACCTTCTGGAAACTGCAAAGAATACTAGAAGGGCACCTCTGGGCATGTACAAAATGCTTTATCAGCTCAGTGGATAGCTGTGGCCCAATCCTGCAGGGCCTTGCTAGGAGCTCCCTGGGCTTCCTCCGTGCAAGTGGACGAAGGCTTCCAGAGAGAAACGAGCGCGGTCACCTTTCCCAGACAGAATGGAGTCCCCCTGTTTTGGTCTCCTCATCTTGTCTGCCTGCCAGTATTAGTGGTCCTCGTGTTAACCCGAATTCCACTTCCTTAAAATTGCTTTCCTCTTGCTGATTGCTTGTCTGCTCCAAAAAGACAGGAAGCAGTTTTTCTTCCCCCAAAACACGGTGTTGCCCACCAGAAGGCAGCCCTGGGTATGGCTTCTAAGGAGCCCTTGTCTCGTTTCTTTTCCCCAACATCATCACCTTCTGCTTCTTACCTGTGTAGGCACAGTCTTAACCCTTGCAGTCCCCATCCCAGCACATGGAAATTTGATTTTTCTTTCTTTCTTTCATTCTAAGCTCATAATTCTTCTTCTAATTCTCTTACTGGAGGCTGGAAATCTTCACGACCATCTCAACTGAGCCTGTCATGAAGATGCATGCGTTGTCTCCAAACAATTGTGTTGTTTGGATGCAACACAATTGATGTTGTATTGCCTCCAAACCAGTCTCCGAGCTCATTCAACCGAGAAAGCACTCCTTGCTATTCTTCCTGCATCTGGAAGCTGAGTCCCGGCCACTGGACTTCTTTCTTGTTAGGCTGAGACGTTCCACTCCTCAACCAAGTCGCTTCTTCAGTCTGAGGAGAGTTGGGAGGAGATGGAGAGTGAAGAAGCTACTTGGGTGAGGAGCGAAACGTCTCAGCCTAACGAGAAAGAGGTCCAGTGGCCAGGACTCAGCTTCCAGAGAACCTCACCGGGAGGACTGAGAATCTTCACAGATATACGTCCTGTAATTCCTTCTAGCCTCACTTGCTTTGTCTCCGAGATCGATTAGGAAGCTTCATCTCTCCCATAAGCTACGAGACCCAAAACGCAAGCATCCATTCCACTACATAAAGCCAAATCCAGAGTCCCGAAGCATAAGGACACCACACTTTAAGAAGAGTGCCAATATGAGCAAGAAGCCGCCTAGAGTGGTCATATTGACCAGATAGGCAGGGTATAAATAGAGTAAATAAAATAAATAAATAAATAAATAAATAAGAATGATCTTGGAATCGCTGTAGACCACAAGCTGAATAGGAGCCAAGGGTGCGATACAGCTGCAAAAAAGGCCAATGCTAATTTAGGCTGTATTAACAGAAGTCTAGTCCCCTAATCCTGTGCCAATGCTATTTTAAGCTGTATTAACAGAAGTCTAATCCCCTAATCCCAAGAGGAACTAGTTCCCCTCTATTTGCCACTGGTTATGCCTCACCTTGAGTCCTGGGTCCAGTTCTGGACACCACACTTCAAGAAGGATGCCAACCAACTGGAGCAAGTTCAAAGGAGGGCGACAAGGAAGATTAAGAGATGGGTAACCAAGCCCGAGGAGGAAAGGTGGAAAGAACTGGGCCTGTTTAGCCTTGAGAAAAGAAGACTTAAGGGGCGAGAGGAGAGCACTTTTGAAAGACTTGAAGGGATGTCCTCCAGAGAAGGGGAAGGATCTGTTATCCATCATTCCAGAGTGCAAGACAGGTAATAACGGGCTCAAGCTACAGGAAGCCAGATTTTGTTTGAATGTCAGGAAAAAAACTTCCTGTTAGAGCAGTACAACAGTGGAACTCATGACCTCGGGAGGTGGATTCCTGCCTTGAGCAGGGGGTTGGACTGGATGGCCTTAGAGGCCCCTTCCAACTTCATGATTCTAGGATTCTACGCTTCTAAGTGGGGGGAGGCCATGTACCACTGGAGACAGACCGATGGCTCTCATGGAGGACATGACATCTGAGCCACCCTGGACAAGATCACATCAGCATCCCCCAAACACAACAAGCCAAGCTGACAAGATGAGCGGCTGTTGTGCAGCCGGATGAGTGTTCACGCTACAGGATCCCGCTCTGCCCTGCCTGGGTGCCCCTTTTCAGACAGACACACCCTAACGCAATAGCCTGTGCGATGGTGCACCCATCTGCTGGATTAGGCTAGCCTTGAGCAACCGGGTTTTCAACCCTGCTTCCTGCCCCCCCCCCCAAGCTATCGGGTGATTTGAATGAGAACAGGAATGTGGGCACAGCTCACCCTCGGCTTCTTCTCTCCCCAACCCTCCTGGTCCAGCCGCCTTCTCTCCTTACCCTCCCACGTGGCACTGCCTGCTTCTTGTCCACCACCACCACCTAATCTTTTGGCAACACCTCCCTCTGCCATCTCCTTATAGGCAGGATGAGGAATTTGATGGAGGCCCCGGTCCTGTTCAAAATCTCCAAAAGGTGGGTTGGGCAGGGGGGGGGATAACAGCAGTATTTTTTTTTAGGGATGAGGCAGCAAAAAAGACATCTCGGGGAATTTGCACACGGCTGTACGCAAGCCAGGGTTTGCATTTCGCATCTCGGTGTACGCTACCCATGGAAACCGTAGACACCCCCGCCCCCCCATTCCCAACCTGAAACAGACAAGCCGGCTGGTGGCCGTGACACCTGCAAACCCACCTGCTGGAAATGAAGACAGAAGGCTGGTCCTTGAGCTCTCCTGGATGGATCCGGCCCCCTTCCACGTCCTTCAGCACTGGAGGTGCAGGAAGGAGGCAGAAGAAATGTAGAACCAAGCGGCAGGTCACTCCATCCACCCCACTTTGGATGCCACTTCTTGCCACTCGAACAGCCCACGTGATTTCTCAGAACTGCTCCTCTGGCCTTAACGTTTCCGGCTCTTAGCTTTTTCCACGCACACCGTTTTCTCTGGGCTGACACATCGCCGCAAAAGCTCAGCTTTTCAAATCTTTTGGATGACGTCTCAAGAGGGAATAAGGAGTACAGGGCTAGTTTCCTGCGTCTGGGGTTGGTGCAGATGGAGGAAGGTGCAGAGTTTTCAATGTGAGTTAAATTCCTCTAGCTGCGCCGACTAAACGACTAAACACACACACAGCTGTGCCTCAGAGGTGCAGGGATTCACAGAACAGAATAGCTTCACTTTCCCCCAGATGAGTCCACCCCTTCTCCTCTCAACAGCTGGCACTTACAGTCTCAGGAACTCACCCTGAGACATGAATAGGAGAAAGAACAAGAGGTTTCCTTACTTACAATGGAACAGGTCAAAGACCAAGCTGAGAAAACATAGGATCATAGAACCACCGAGTAATTGATTTGGAAGGGGGCCTCCAAGGTCATCCAGTCCAACCCCGCCTGCTTAGTGCATGAATCCAGATTATGGCTGGCTGGGTGAATTTCAGCCGGAGGCCTCAACACACTCTTGACTGCAGACAAAACAAGACAGAGGGGGAAAGAAAGCATCAGAGGAGCGAGCCGGAGGTCTCTTTGAATTCAGAGGCGTGGAAGGAGTGATTGACGAGTGCTTGACACCCCGGCCCAGAAAAGTCCCGTCCATCCAAACCTACTCATGGTGGGAGGCAAAAACTCCATCAGGCAGGTGCAGAAATTCATAATTATTGCTTTTAAATGGGCAGGTTGAGCACTGGTGAGGAAATGAATCTCTCTCCCCCCCCCCTAAAATTCAGCTGTGGTTGCACTCTGGAATTCACAAATCTTCTTCGAATGTTCTGTAGCTAGGCTAATAAGTATTTTATCCTTTCTTAGACACACCCTGCACCTTTCTCGGTCAAAAAGGGGCTCAAGGAAGCGAACGATGAAATGAAGAAAACAAGCAGAAGCTACAGATATAAAATACATGAAAACAAGGAATTTTCTTTTTCCGAAAGGGTGGTTTAAAAGAGAAAGGGGGGAAAAAAAGGTGATCATCTGCCCAGATTAAGGGTCGCTTGTACAATAACTTTAGGAGGCTGAATCGACATTTCTTTGCTCGCTGGCGAAAAGATGATGAGGAGATCAGCATCACTTTCCTTGGCAGGGAGTTCCACAGATTCAGAGCAGATTCAGTTCCGAGGCAGTGCGAGCCAAAATGACACATCAGTCCAGACTCACGGCACAAATCAAATCAAATTCAGCCCCTTGGAATTTTTTAAAACCCCAATCTTTAAATTTGCCTAGTACATGAATCTGTGAGGCTGTCTGAAATCTGCCAGGTTTTCTTCCCATCTTTGGGGGTCTGTCCCATGCGCAAACATTATGTACAGATGAAATGAAACAAACAGCCATTATGTTTTTCGCGTTGTCGTTACGTGCCATCAAGTCACCTCTGACGTAAGGTGACCCCCATCAAGGAGTAACCTCCAACATTGTCCTATCATTTACAAACTTTCTCAGGTTTTCGAAAATTCAAGCTTGGGGTTTCCTTTAGGGAGTCAGTCCATCTTGTATTTTGGTCTTCCTCTCTTCCTGCCTTCCAAATTTCCCAGCGTGAGGGTCTTTTCCAGCAAATCGCACCCCCTCACGATGTGCCTCGAAATATCACAACCTCAGTTTGGGTTTTCCAACGTCTTGACTTTATACATGAACCCATCGGTTCAATTTTCCAACAACGACTACAAGAGCCATTCAGCTGGCCTCATGGGAATAATATTCAGGAGCCAACTCAAATACCCCATAAAGGAACATGAGTCGCCAAAGAGCGCATAGGCGGACAAACGTGAACTTGTACGGTATGTTTTCGTGACATCCTCAGTGATCATGGCACCATCAAGCAACAGAACAAGGAGAGAAAAGACAAAGGGGTGGAATTTACATGCATGTAGGTCTTTGGGCTTCCTGTTTGCATATTGCACCGATCATCTGAATCTGCTCTGCTTTGCCATGTCAAGCAACAACGTCAGCACACCAAGACCTCCGCACAAGCAGACACATTTGTGGGCCACTTACCGCTGTGGTGTTGTCCATGGAACCATTAGAAGCCCCCGTCCATCTCAAACCAAGTCCTGTCCCGGGTTCAGGAGACGGCAGGCCCAAACAGCCATTGCAGCAGCTTAGGGATGTGTGTGTGTGTGTGTGTGTGTGTGTGGGTGTGTGTGTGTGTGTGTGTGTGGGGGGGTGTGTGGGTGTGTGCACATACATGCGTGAGTGTGTGTGTGCGTGCGTGCGTGCGTGCACTCCAGACCATAGGTGGGGGAGGCGCCAGCTCCTCCCCTCCATCCACAGCCCAAAGAAGGGACCCCCACCCTGCCCTGTTCAGAAGGCTGGGAAGGGATCCAGAGGTTGGGAGTTCGATTCCTCAGTGTGCTTCTTCCGAGCACAGCCAGCCTGGGTGGCCTTGGGCCAGCTGCACCGTCCCAGGGCACTCCCAGGAGAAAACTCCTTTTGAGGACTCTCTATCTGGGAAACCCTGAAAAAAGGTTAACAAGAAGTCAAAGTTGACTTGACGGCACATGAGAATTGGGATAACCAGTGTGGTGAACAAAGTGATGGACTATAAGGCTCAGGTGACCTGGGTTCAAATCCCCGCTCAGCTGCGGACACTCGCTGGGAGATTGGAACCGGTAAAGCTACTCCGTAAACATCTTGCTGACCTTGAAAGCTCTACTGGGGTTGCTATACGTTGATTGCGAGCACATAACGACGACGACGACCCACTTAAGACACCCTTATAAAGTGGGAACGCCAAGAGCACACCATATTCCGAAGATCCTCAGCCTCTAGATTGATATAATTTCCTTTTAAAAAATTCATTGCCTGCCTGCCTTCCTCCTAGAAGCATTGACTGTTCTGCCCCGTCTCCTGAAGCCGGGGAACATCCGCAAGGCTAAGTCAACCGGTGGATTCACTGAGGTCTTCTCTGGCAGTTTGCTGGGAGGTAGCATTTTCCTCCCTCCGTCTCCACGTCCTTCCCATCCACAGCTCCCAGAGCCAGACAGAGCGTAGACGCTCAGCCACAAAGCTCCGTCCTTAGAAGGCAAGCGGCCAGCGGGTAAAACATGCTTTGGAGATTCGAACCCGTTTCTCCAGAATCCTAGTCCGCCACTCTTTCTACTACACCACACTGGGAGTCCAAAATAGGGGTCACTCCCTCAAATATTCAAAGATCTCCCCATGCAACCTCTAGTTGGAATCCATACATGAACCACCTAAAGGACATCAGTATTATGATTCCCATATGATTGTGAGTTGGCTACCGTCCTTAGTACCCTCACAGCAGAAGTAAAATTCAAAACAGATTTTCCAGGATGTGTCACTCAGTCTTTTTAGACACTGCGTTACACTTGCAGACATTTGCAAGAGGGAAAATTAAACGCACCGGACCTCATGTTAGTCCTGCTCCAGCAAAACACCTCGTCTTATGACAACATTTGGATCAACACCTTTATTACGGCTAAGCATTTACGGATTAGGGTCCGCACCTCAGCTGATGTAGGGGGTTCCTCTAGGCTGCCAGCTATCTAGGCATCAGGAATGTGTTTGGTAGTCAGTCGGGTGTTTGCGTGCATGCACATGTGCATTGAATCGCAAGCTACAGGGTCCCCAGGAAAGCTGAAGGCAAAACACACAGACATGGAAAGCAAGTATTAAACTTGAAATGCATGCAAGAGGTGTACGCCAGCCGTCCGAATTTTTTTGCAGCGCCTGTTTTTGCTCCTCCGTCGACAGAGCACAAGTTCTCAACACCCCTTTTGTGCCAGAGCCTCGCACACCATCACCCACACCATCACCATAAAGAGAGTCCGGTCCAAATGGGTGGCAGCATTAACATTTATTTTGAAAAGGGCACCCCGACTACTTTATTCAAAAATAAATCAACTCTCTCTCTCCTATCCATAAAAGTGACCTTTGGGAAGATCAACACGAAAGGTTCCGGCTGTCTCCGGCCCCGTGTCTGACACGAGAGAGTGCATGTCGTGTACTTGAAACATCTTCTAAAGACGGCATGCACAGGAGAATGGGGGGAAATAATGTTTATGCACCGTTGCTTCCTCGGATGCTCCCCCCCCTTTGTAAAAAAATTAAGCCGCCTTGGAATAATCTGCTAAAGCAGAGAGACGGAAGTGCGGCAGGTTCTAGACGTAGCTGAGCTGCAACTCCCAGCAGGAGTTTCTTTTAATATCTGGCAGCCACCCGGTGGTCTCCAGAAAGTCCTCTCCTCAAGGTTCAGATTTTGCATACTCGAGTGTCTATGGCTTCCTTTACGGAGTCAATCCATTCATGTCTGATTCTGCTCTCCTGTTTTCTTAAGAGGGGGGCCTCTCTCAGCTTCCTGTATTTCGGGAGTTGGCGGTGGAAAGCACAGGAACAGAGGCCGTTGTTTGAAATCCAAACGGACCCAAGAGGACCCCCGACGTCCAGAAAGGGCACACGGCCTGATTTAACAGCTGCTGCTGCTGTCAGGGTCTGGTTCCTCTCTTATTTCTTCCTCTTTCTTGTTGTATTGAGATCCTGGCCTTCTCCTGCCAGCTGGAGGCACACGAGGCTCTCCGCCTGCTGCTTCACCCGCACAAGGGCTACACGGCGAGCAGGTGAGGCTGAGAGTCTATGACTGGCCTTTCAGGATCCGGTGGGCATGTTCAAGCCAGGTCCTAGGGTCATCGTCCAGTGGCCTCACCACCAGCCTGAAAATGGGACTGAGCTTTAGGACTTCTCTGCACACACTGGGACGGAGGCCTTCCCGTTTTACATCCTCACAGAGCGGTGTAGAGGCCGTTTGGATGCAGCTGGGGGAGGTGAAGGATGTGCAAGGCAGTTAAGGACCTGCAGCCGAGGTTACTCGGCTTGACAAATACAGTATTGTGTTCTGCAAAATCTGGCTCCAGAGGAAGGAGATGTAGGCCAAAAAATTGCTTACTGGTTTAGGTCTCTGGCTGTGGAGCCCGAGGGTGGGAGTTTGAATCCCCTCCACTGGGCCTCCTGTGAGTAGAGCCAGCCTGGGTGGCCTTGGGCAAAAGCTGCAAAGTCAACCCAGAGTAAACCCAGAAGAAAGGAACGGGAAACCACTTCTGAGTATTCTCTGCTTGGAAAACCCTGAAAAGGGTCACTTGTTAGTCAGAATCGACTTGATGGCATGCAGTTATTATTAAATAAGAAATGGGGGAAATCAATAGCGAAATTACAGCACCAGGCAAGTATATACTGCGAGAACAGTCTTGATAGGTGTAACTAATGAAAGTTATAGGTCTTTGAAACTATTCTAGGGAATAGGAACCTTGGGTAATTCATCCATCTTTTTTTCTCCATCATCATTAGTGTTACTGTGTTTTGATTTTCCCGGGAGTGGGTGGGAAGAGGGAGATTTTAGGGAAGGGAAGAATGTTTCCTGACAAATGTCTCCTTGCCAGAGCATTTCCCCAACCAACCACCCTGGTTCTCTTAAAGTTAGGTCTTCTTTTCCGTTCCAGCTAATCAGGGATCCTTAAAAAAACGAACAGAACGAGGTCACAGCGCCAGGTAAACCAATCGGCACCAGCATCACCGAAGCCCAACAGAGAAAAGCCAAGCAGGAAGTGAAGCAGAAACACAAAGAATAAATTCACTTTATGTAAGGGACTATCAGCACATGCTTTTCACGGACAAAACTTGTAAAACAGCTTCTTAAAAAAAGGGAAGTCTGAAACCACTTCCCTCCACTGCCCGCCACCACCTCCCGCTGTCTGTCACAGCCTTCCTGGATGCTCTCTTGTGATTTCTACAGGATGGAAAAACTAGTCGACCACAAAGAACAGAGGAAATCAAAGCACATCTGGGGTGTGTGGGTTGTAAGGGCCAGCGCTGTCCATCGTGCTTGGTTGACGGGGCATTCACCCCCTGCCCCCCCCAAAGCTCCCGTCTGGCTCATGCAGGCGGCATGAAGCCCGCCGGGTGAGTTTGGGTGATTCAGCAGGCGCAGCTTCCTCCTGGCATGCAGCTCGCTTCTCAGTAAACGCAGAGGTCTGGGAACTTCATCTCATACACCGGGATAGAATGGCTCTGGGGCTGCCCGTAAGCGGCTGTGATGGTTCCCGAAGGGCTCGGAGGGGGTCTGCAGCAAAGGGGGGGGGAAGGAAAGCAAGAAGACATTATCCCTGGGGCACCACAGCGAGAAAGTCATGTTTCGTGATAAATATGCATCGGATGTAAGCTATAACGCAGGCCTTCTGTGGCATTTTCCTCTGAATCCGTAAACGATTTTCCCCAAATTTCAGCCATTTGTCTCTCACACGCATATAAGAACAAGCAGAGAGACAGAAAAGGCAGGAAGGGGGCTCAGCACCTCTCTTGCTTGTGGCCAATGGGCCGATGTGACAAAACAGACTCGCTGTTTTCTAGCAACCAAACCACTTTAGGGTACAGTCGTGCCCCGCTCGACGATTACCCCGTTTAACGATGAATCCGCTTCACGATGATTTTTTTGTGATCGCAAAAGTGATCGCAAAATGATGTTTGAATGGGTTTTTTTTCGCTTAGCGATGATCGGTTCCCTGCTTCGGGTACTGATTTTTTGCTAAACGATATTTTGTCAACCGCTGATCAGCGGTTTTCAAAATGGCCATCGGCTCTCAAAATGACCACCTGCTGTTTTTAGGAGGCATTTTTCACAAGACAGGCACCGGAAAATGGCCTCCCTATGGAGGATCTTCATTTACAATGAGGTAAACCATTAGCTGGTTTCTAATGCATTATAATGGGCTTTTTAATTTCGGGCTAAACGATATTTTGTCAACCGCTGATCAGCGGTTTTCAAAATGGCCATCGGCTCTCAAAATGACCACCTGCTGTTTTTAGGAGGCATTTTTCACAAGACAGGCACCGGAAAATGGCCTCCCTATGGAGGATCTTCATTTACAATGAGGTAAACCATTAGCTGGTTTCTAATGCATTATAATGGGCTTTTTAATTTCGGTTGACGAGGATTCCGCTTAACAGCGATTTCAACGGCACGGATTATCCTCGTCAAGCGAGGCACCACTGTATCTGGTTGTGGAGCTGGAGGTTAGGAGTTCAAATCCCCCACTGGGTCTCTTTGGCTAGGGGTTGGACTCAGTGATCCACAGGGTCCCTTCCAGTTCTGCAGTTCTAAGATCATTGTCATTATTGAGAAGCCAGGGTGTGCGGGGAAGTAGAAGTGTTGTGCTCTGACTGTGAGGAAGATGGGCCTCATTGGGGTTGTTTCCTTTGGGAGGGGCAAGTGGGATTCTCACAGGGGCCGAGAATCACCCATGAGATTTAAGCCAATTACGATGATGGGTGTAAGTAAGAAGCCCACATCCTCTTGCTTATACCCACCGTTGCAGTGCAACTGGTGTAAATCTTATTGGTGAACAGTAGGAAGTTAAGAAGTTAGAGCAAGCATCGCCTGTCGTTGACAAAGCCTTTGCCACTTGGGCATAGCATCAAAGCTCCATAGGAATTTGGCCTTTACACTTTTAAATGCATATCCCAAAGTGAACAGACCCTAAAAACCCTACATTTCACTACTTGGGAGTTTTCATTGGGATCAGAAAACATGCCATCGGTCCCTGAGGACACCTTCTGAGGGTTAAAAGGATGGGGGAGCAGGGCAGGCAAAAGAAGCACAGAAGCCCGAGGCAGAAAAAATGCTAAATAGGGAACGTTCTAAACATGAAACAAACACCGCTGGAGTGAAGCAGGGACGTTCACCTGCACAAAACCTCACGGAGGCACCTGATGCTGCACAGGAGTTGCACCAAATGAAGAATAATAGCCAGCAAAAAATACGATTAAAATTTAAAAAAGGAACTTTCCGAGCCACATCTTCCCACACAGGTTTAAGCCTCATGGAAGGCTACTCCATTGAGTGATCCCGGACTCTGAAGCCAGGATCCTGTGGAGACTTTTCTTCTGGAATTGTTTTTGGAGTGAGAAAAACAAGGGTGCCACAAGAACACAACCATGCTCTCTACTCTTTATGTTCCTTCCAGGTATGTTTTTTCATATTTAGCCAGCCGCTAATGATAAGGGGTTACTGCTCGGAGTAAAGGCCACACGTGAAGCCCCCCTGACTCAGGCACAACACAGAATTGTACGATGAAGCGCAGCTGATACTCTGAATTAGTGGCAACCTGCCACGGAACTGACGTCGTTTCCCTGACGCTGGGGCAAGTTACCCAAGAGGATGGTGGCCACTGATGTACTGCAACCTGGCTTTGTTCCATAACAATGACATTCACATCGGACGGCTTGTTCCCCATGTGGCTAGCTTCTCCTGTGCTCTTGCTTCATCATCCTACCCACACAGTCATCCTTCTTCCCTTTGAGCCCCCCACATTCCCTTACCTTATGGTGATCTCAAATATCTGGTTGAGCTTGCTCTGGAGTAGAGTCGCCTGCAATGAGAACGAACGGGATTACAAGCATGACACCCATCCAAGGAGTTCAGCCTGGAGGCAGGCGGGGTGCATCACGGCCTCTCCCAATTTGAAGGGACCCTTGTCCAGCAGGCCGAGGCCAAGAGGCTGTCACAAAAGCAGCCAAATCAGGGAGCTGGACAGGGGACAGACTGTATTTGTCTTCAACGTGGAAGAGATTGTCACTCTCGAATTGGCCTTCTCAGCCAAACTAGGCACTGTTCCAAGTCCTCCATTCGGAGCATGTTCCCATGGTCTCTCGAGACTGAAGGAGGCCCACACCCCTCCAAGATTCCCCCGTCCCCAAGTCTACCTTTCAGAGGTTGCTAATGATGCAGTTCTTCCTAAGGGCCTTTTTTTCTTCTTTTAAAAAAAATGTTAAATTCATTTTCATAGGGATAGTACAAATAGGGGGGAGCAGTTAAAATGAGGGGAGAGGAATGGTAGGAAAAAGTAAATTTCCAGAGAGCGAAAAGTATTCTTACCTCTGCTTATACAATTATATTAAAAACAGAAACCATACCGGGAGAAACAGAAAACTTTATAGAAATTTTTCAGGAACTCTATCATTACTAATCTTCAATTTTCTTGGACCTGCTCTTCCTTTTTATCTTTAACATTACTAATTTTATAGGTTTAATATTATTCTGCCAAATTTATATCTATGGCTCTAAATCAAGGCTATAACCATTAGTTTGTGTTTATTTCATCATATATAATTATTTCGCCACACAAAAAAACCTTCTTAAATTTAACAACGTTTATTTCCACTGCTCTATCTGACAATAAGTTTATTCTTATTAACTCTGATTAAGGCTTCCAGACAAAATATTTCCCGGCTAAGGTAGATACTGCTGGCTACCTCTTCTCAAGACTCCTAAAATCGGCAACTCCATCTTCCTTGATTTCCTTCTGTGCAGGGTGTCAAAGGCCACCAGATTTTGCCTGTAGCGTTTAACACATTTGCTGATTTTTTTTAAAAAAATTAATG